AATTCAAAAACGTTCAATACAAAAACAACTGGACTTTATTTGTAACAGCTGTACTGAACGTTTTTGAATTTATCATGACTTGAGAATCTTCACCAGAATAATTCCTTTATGGTTCTGCTTCCCACACAGTTTGTTTAAATTTGCTTATTCTCACGCAGGAAAAGGAAATATGGGAGCAGAAAAGTTGGACCAGTGGTAAAAAAAATCTCCATGGAGACGATGTTTACAGCAGAGAAAACACATTCGCAGCACATCTGTCGTCAGGAAACCGTGATATCTGTGATACTGTGCTAACATTTTCTCTCCTCTCCTCTTTCACCCTCCCAGCTTTAATTTTTTTTCCACGGACTTTAATATAAATCACCTTCTCTATATTTAAACTTACAAATAAACCTTATGTTCATGTGACTCTAGCTTGTGTTACAGGCATCTGGCTCTTCGTTTAACGCGGCCGTTTGTTTTTATCTGGGAAGAAGACGCGTTTGAGATAACTGAGCATTAGTGTCTTTTAACAAGTTAGATAATGTTACTCCAAGCATCTGCATGCTTTGCTGTGAGTTTTCTTCTCATTACTGGTGGATAAAATGCTCCGGTTCAGGCAGGTTGATTTGGTTGTAGCTTTTAGTCTTTTCTGGCAACGCTGCACATTAATTTCTGATTGTTGTTTTTGTGATTTGCTTCAGACACAGCCGAATTGTGTTTCCAAATATACCTTACAGCTGTAAAAACATCCCACAGTGTACAATGTAACCTACATGAAAGGAGTTTTTATTGCAGGACAGATGTATTTGGATGAAATTAGTTTCAGCTGGATTGAGCCAATAAACTGCAAACTGAGCCTTTTGCTTTTATGTTTCTCCGCAGCCGTAGGTTTTGTTTCCTCACACAGTGCATGTTGCTTTATGTAACATTCATAGGTTTAGGAAAGTTACAAGTTTAAAACAGAAATGCTAATCGACCTGGCTCTGGTTCAGAATGACATCTCGAATAGATCTTCTGCAGAGTTGACCGGTCTTCAACTCTATTTCAGTTCAAATATAAAGTAATCGCTTACATCCTGATAAAAACAACTTGTTTTTGTGAGACTTTCCATCTGGTGGATTCTGTTAGAACCGCTGGGTTTGAATGGTGTCCAGTTCTGCTCGGATCATCTACAGCATGGTTTGTCTCTGAGAATGATGAAGTGTAAATCCACCGGGTGCTGCTTTTGATCTTTTCTGCTCATTTAGCGCCAGAAATCTGTCTCGTGTCTGGGCTCCAGCTAATTTCATCCTGCGGTCGTCATCAGAAAAGCTGATCTGTCGCTCAGTGAGAGTCACGGCCTTTATTAATATGGACATAAGTTTATGTGTTGATGCGCTCTAAGGGCCCTCCTATAAATATCTCTGTATGTCTCCGATCCGTAACGTGAGACAACCGCTCGTTCTTTGCATTCACTCGTGCTTCTCTTCTTCTAAGTTCTTTCATTCACTGCTCACTATTTTTAAAGTATCCACATGGCTCTGGCAGGTGTCCGGTAAACTTAATCCAATCTGCACTGATTGCTCTCCATGCTCCTCACTTTTGATTTATAGGAAGAGGAATAGCCTAAATTTAAACTTTGTGTTTCACGACACCCAAAGACATGCACAGACATGGGGCTGTAAGAAGCAGTTACGCGCAGTCAGTATCTTCCCTGCAGTAGATAGTTGTCAGAGTGATCTCAGTTTTTGAAGAATCATGGAGAATTTCCCTCGAATGAGTTAAAATAACGTGCAGGAACTACTTTTCCAGAGAGGAAGGGTTCTAAAAATCTAATATAGCACTGTGGCAGGACAATATTTTTCATGTAGTGAACACTGAACATCCCTCGCTGCCAGAGGAACCTTTATCAATGTGGAATTTAATTAATAATTTTTAGCAACATCAATTCTTTTTAAAAATTTTAATTATTGTAAATTTTTGCCAAAATGTTTTCCACAGGGTTTTGACAAATTTATGAACAAATCAAACCATCTCTTGAGCCTTGCTTTGGAAGCAATGTTTTATGAACGTTTTAAACGGCTAGTTTTTTAACGTTCTGTAGCAGCTAGCCGTGCTAATGCTAGCTAATTTATAAACGAGGATGTTTCTCGCATAAAGTAATCAATGTAATGCTTTTGCACTCTAGATGGTGGAATTTCACTCTTAAATAACCTCCACTCTGAATACCAGGAAGCGTTTAAATAAATTCGCTGTTCGGTTTGAAAATTAAAAAAACTTGTTCTTATTACGTTGATAAGGAACTCACTTTATTACTTTTTTTAAAGGGCGGGTAAATTTGTTTATAGATGATAAATGAAGCGGGTGAAATGGTGATTGTGTCTAATCAGTGCTAAAGGATCACGTTTTCTTCTGCAAGGACACATGATGAACACAGAAATGTACTTTGGTCAACTGAAGTTTGTTTTATAGCTTCTTTTCATCTATTAAACTAGACAACGGCTGTTTATTTAAAGTGACGGACACAACCTAAAAGGGAACATTTTTTTGTAAAAGTGCAGCGTGAATATTGAGTGCTAAAAGCTAAAAGAAACCGAGCAGTAGCTAAAAGGAGCAGAACAGTAGCTAAAAGTAGAAAACAATCTACAATACATAAGCAGCAAAACACTGGTTAAAAATAAATTAAAAGGTAGCTACAAGCTCAATGCAGCAAAAAGCTAGCTAAAAGTAGCAAAACCGCTAGCTCAAATCAAATGCAGCAAGAGGCTAGTTAACAATAAAATAAGCATAGTGATAGCTAGAGGCTAAAAGTAGCAAAATTTTAACTTACAAGTTAAGAATGGCAAAAGGCTAAGTAAAAGGACCCAAACACTAAGTAAAGGTTAAAAGTAGCAAATTTGTAGCTAGATGCTAAAAGAAACAAAATACTTATTAAAAGTAGCTAAAAACTAGCTAAGATCCAAATTTAGTAAAGGCTAGCTAAAAGTAGTGAAACACTAGATAAGTCAAAACTAGCAAATAATGAATTTGGAGATAGTTAAAGGCTATCTAAGCAGAGCAACCAACTAGCTAAGAACTTTAAGTACTAAATTGTTTTTTTAGAAGTCAAAAGCAGCAAAAACGTAGCAGAAAGCTAAAAGTAGCTAAACTGACTTAGCTAAACTTTTATTTTCTAACATGGGGCCTGTATGTACATGTTTGTCTGGTAAGTGTTCAGTTGTGTTTTCCTTGTCACATCCTACATTTATGTAAATATTTAAAGTCAAAAGCCCCTCCTCCCTCAGAACCACCCGGTCCAGTCCAGTCCATGTGTCTTTTGTTTCAGTTTTAGAGAAATTGCCACCCCTGACTCCCCCATAAATATTTGCCCGTGATTCTCCGAGCTGAGATCCCACCGACTGCTTTCTTCACAGAACTGAACTGTCCCTTTAACTGCTGCCGTCGGCCTCCATTCCTTCCTTCAGTCTGAGTGGATCAGATTTAATGACGAGTCCAAACAACTCGGGAACAACTCACTCTGTGCTGCTTTTGCCCTGTATCTTTCTGAACTTCCTTTTTCTGCCAGATTTTCAATCATCACACAAACTTGCACTAATACCCCCCCCCCCTCCTCCTCACCTCCCGTCGTTCCTTCTCATGCCTGAACATCGGCAGAGTCTCCAAGCAGAAGATGAGAATGGAGAGGACGATGACCATGACGCTGATGATGGCGATGATCCGCGCCCCACTTGAAGACTCCGGGTACTCAAACAGCATCCAGATTTGCTGCTGCCACTTTCTGGGGGGTAATGGTCTCTCCTCCTCTTTAGGGAAGCCTTCGTCCTCCTTGAAGCGGTCGATGATCTCCTCTCCGAGCTCGTAGAAGTGCAGCTCCTCCAGGAACATGTCCAGGGGGATGTTGGCCGGTCTCCGCAGCCTGCCGCCCGACTGATAGAAGTAGAGGATGGCGTCGAAGCAGATGCGGTTCCTGTCCAAGAACAGTTCGTTACGTAGGGGGTCGTAGTACCGAAGGCGCCGGCGGGGGTCGCCCAGCAGGGAGTCGGGGAACTGAGCGAGAGTGCGGAGCTGGGTCTCATAGCGCATCCCAGAGACGTTGATGGCGAGGCGTTCGGTCAGAGCCCAGCCGCTCCTCAAGGGACGACGGTTGTCCCTCCGGACCTCCTTCTCACTGCTCTCCTTCTCCAGCTTGTTCTGTTTGTCTTTGCTTTGCTTCTGTTCGTCACTGACCTCAGACTTTTGGTTTTCTTTTGCCTCCTCTCCTCCGTCTGTTCCCCCCTCCTTGTCTTGAGCATCCATTTCTCAGCCTTGGATAGTTTTCTTGACAATTTTCTCGTGTCTTTATGCTAAACAGGTGAAAGTCAAACTGTTATTTACTTCATAACTGAACAAGAACTGACAGCTGATATCAAAATAAAAGTCTGGTATACGCTGAAGGAACATCATGACAAATGTGTGGATCTCGGTGTCGAGGATCACTTTTAGCTGCTACCACACCAACTTTTAGCTCTGCATCTGTAAAATCAACTGGATTGTAGCAATTTTTGTGTTTCTGACGTCAGTTATCTGTGGCGGACATCTTGAATTGACTTGAAAACTTTAGCTGTAAATGTATTGTGATTGTTTTCTGAAAGCTTCATTAAATTTCCCATAAAACTTTAGAATTGATGAGCAGATCTCGCTCAGTTTAACGCAGTGGCAGCCATCCTTCATGTTCTAGATGTTTCTCTGCTCCAACACTCCTGATTTGAGTCGAGGGGTGATTATGAGGCTTCTGCAGAACATGCAGAGGTGATTCAACCATTGAATCAAGTGAGTTGGAGCAAAGAAACCAGTAAAACATGCAGGATGGTGTCCCTCAAACACCAGGATTGGACACCCCCTGGTTTGGGGTATGTGTTGGGGATGACTCTCAGCTACTACCACAACAAATCTGTGCGCAGTATTTTTAAAATCGCCCGAGTCATAATGATGTTTGCGTTTCCTAATGTTGATTTCCTGTGGCGGCCATCTTGAATGGGATTGACTTCAAAAGTTAATCAGCTGTAGACATTTATCCGTTGTTTACTTTCAGATTGATTTCGATACATTCACTGGTTCATGAGATGTTAAAAATTAAATGAGGTTTTAGTATCATTTGTGATATTCAGCCACTACAAACCATCTAAACAAGAAAATAGATGGAGAGGGAAAACAGACTATAAACATAGCAATGTTAAAAATAAGCCTTCACTGATTGGTTATAAAAAGATAAAACGGTTAGCAAAAAGATTTAACAGCCAGAGTTATAAAAACATAATAATATGCATTTGTTTTAGCTCAAAACTGAAACATAAAATACCAAAAGTTAGATTTATAGAGGATTGTTGTGTTTGCTTTAGTTGGAGCTAAATTAGCTTGTAGGAGATGAAAAAGGCTAAAATACATAAGAGAGAATGTAACAAACAGGAAGCATCATCATTATCAGAGCGTTCCCCTCCTCTCACCTGTGTGCCTACCTGCTCCTCCAACAAGTCCCACCTCCTGTTTGACCATGACTCTCCTGCTGTACCTCCACCTCCAGGTGCTGACCCGGTTCACCTCATCACACAGCCCAGAAACACCCTGGGAACTGTCCTCCCGTGAGGAGGAGCTGAGTGGCTCCTTCAGGGCCCGCCGTGGTGTTGATCTGCAGCCCCGAGTCAAGCTGAGCTGGTTTGTAGGTCACTTCACTTTCACCATCGTGTCTGTTACACGCCACCGAGGGAATGCTGCAGGGTGGAAATTTAATCTTTGACCCCGCTCCAAGAGCTGCCGTCTCCTCCCCACCCACCTTCTTCTTTTTTTATTTATTTTTTACCCCCCACCACCAAAATTTCCTGCTCCAAATTTTACGCCTGCTCATTAGTTCGTTAGCGACTGACCTCACAATCAGAGTGTGCGTTGAAGATGACTCTCAGCTACTACCACACCAGGTTTTAGCTCAACATCTGTAAAATGGACTGAACTGTCTCGCTAGTAGCCAGCTGAATTTGGATTGGACATTGCAATGGACACGTGTAAAGACAGTGTTGTCCGCTTTTGTCTTTCAGTGGTGGGCGACAGTAAAACAGCTGGCAGTGACTGTTTGTTGGGTATGCAATCGTAAATATATATTTTTAAATAATAATATAAAACATACATATCAAATTAAAATAAACATTTTTATATATTCTAAGTATTGTCTGTTTTTAATAATTTTTAGCAGAATATCTGTTTGCGTCTCCAGCATAAGCAAAACTGAATTTCATCCCTCTAATTTAATCTTTTTTTTTTTGTAATAAAACTTAATGACTTGCTGCTTTGACTGACTCAAGCTGGACTTTCCTGCTTTAATATCAGGCCATTTTTTCCCCTTTAAATTTAGAAAGGGTTGTTGTTGTTGTTGTTGTTGTTGTTGTTGTTGTTGTTGTTGTTGTTATCCCTGACTCCTTACTGCAGTGCATTTGATATGGGATCAGCTCAAAAATATACAAACCCTGCAGGTGATTATTTGCTGTTAAAAGTTCCTTAGTGTCTTAATGCTTTATGTTTTATTGAACCCCACTTAATAACTTCTTTTGTTGTTAATAGTTGCCACACAAATTTAAAACTTTCTTTCCAACAAGAAACAGTTAGAAATGATCTCAGTTGTAATAAATGTTCAAATTTTAACTTCCTACTAACTTGTTAAAATATTTAAAGTCCAAACTGATTGGCCCACTATGTGAGTGTACAGCTTGTGGGGCTGAGTTTGTTGTGACCCCTCAGACTGATGAAGTCCTTTGGATGAAGAACAAAACGTTTCAATTAAAAAAATGAAAGAAAAAAAAAACTGTCCAGATGACCTGACTTAACTTTATTGGAGTTTTTACCTGGATTATTGAGCATGAATTTTGATTCCTTGTTACACTTTTACGAGTTTATGGATCATTGTGGTTTAGATTGTGTGTTTTCCAACTGTTCGGTCGGTACGTAAACGCACCACAGTAAAACTCGTTTTGGGTGGAACTTTGAACTTTTCCAGCAAATAAACGGTGACCGACTGGATGTGAGCTGCAGGGGAGCTTTGAGCCGTGGACACTGAACAGAAAGTGTCTTTAGTTTTGATTTTTATCGTCAAACAGCTCGCGCTGTTGGACAGGAGCGCAGAGGAAATGTCCCCCCGCTACAAAAACAAAGTCGTCGTTGTGACCGGAGGGTCCAAAGGGATCGGCAGAGGGATCGTCAGAGTGTTTGGTATGGGATATTTGCTGTGTTTGTTGTGGTTGAAACAGGGAGTTGCGCATTAACCAAGCTGCGTCTTTATTTTAGTGGAAAATGGAGCCAAAGTGGTGTTTTGCGCACGAGGAGGTCAGTGTTTTTATTTATTTATATTTTTAATCTTTCAGCGTCCGTTCCTTGAAAAAGAAAAGCTGCAACGTCACCTACGCTGTTTTTTAGTTGCAGCAGGTGAAACTCTGGAGGCGGAGCTTAACGCAGCAGGACCGGGCGCGTGCAAGTTTGTCAGCTGTGACATGTCCAAGGAGGAGGACATTAAGGTAGGTCTGGAGGACAACAGGTGAGCCAGATGTGGCCCCTGTTATAAATCTAAAAAGTCTAGGTTGGTCTGTTAGCAAAATATCGATCCACTGGTTGGATCTCCATCCATGTGTCCATTCGTGATCTTTTACTCGCTTCTTACTTTTTTTTGGGTCATGGGGGTCACTGATGTCCATAACCAGCAGTCACTGTGAGAGAGGCAGAGGACAGCCTGGACAGGTCTCCAGTCCATCACAAGGACACATTGAGACCCAACAACCATTCACTCTCTCACCTAGGGACAATTTAGAGTTACCAGTCAGCCTAACATGCACGTTTTTGGTCTGCGAGAGGAAACCGGAGTACCCGGAGAAAGCCCACGCAGCACGGAGAGAACATGCAAACTCCACCCAGAAAGACACCCGGCCAGGATTCGATCTGGCAACCTTCTCGCTGAGAGGCAGCAGCTCTGCCAACTGTGCCACCGTGCCGCCCACAGATTTAAATAGAACAGGAAATTGAATGGAACTCTACAGTCGATTAACCCAATTAAAGATGGCTGCCGCAGCATTAGTCCATTCATGAATCCATGAATCATCCTCTTGTTTTGGAGTCGGGTCTTGGGGCCAGCAGCTCCAGGAGGCTCAGACATCTTTTTCCACAGCACCTCTTCCAGCTCTGCTGGGAGGACTCTTAAAGGCATTTCCAGGCCGTCTGAGAGACGTAGACTTCAGACCCGTCGTCAACAGATGATTTTATGATCCATTAATCCATCTCTACCATCATTCATGAACAAGATGTATTTTTATTCAAATGGCAGCCCGGTGGTTCTGAGAGGAGGTGGAGGAGACGTGTCTGTCCTTGTTGGCTGGTGACAAAGTTCAGAGAATGCTGGACCCAAATGGACTCGAGGACCTCCAGTCGGCCATCGCTGCATTCTTTCTGCCTTGGATAGAAAATAATGTCGGAGAAGTTTCAAACACCGACAGTGAGGCGACACTCAACTTAAATGGAAAATCACGGAGACCATGTAGACCAGAAGTGAGACTGGATGATGGAAAGACAGCTCTAATTAAAAGTTGCTTTAACCGTTTGGATAGTCTCCATAAAATCACATAAACTCAGCATCTCATGTAGAAAATACTGGTAAATCAAGAATGTTTTTATTTGTGTTTTTTTATTTTTGTCTCCAGAGGTTGATCAGAGTCACCGTGGAGCTTTACGGTCACATCGACTGCCTGGTCAACAACGCAGGATGGCGTGAGTCTTCGTATCACTTCCTCCAGCAGAGGTGATGATGATGATGAGGCCGTAAGAAATGTGTCGAAGTTTAATTTTATTTCCATGTCTTTTTCTCTTCAGACCCTCCTCATAAACCCATGGATGAAACCACAGCAGAGGAGTTCAGAGATCTGCTCAACCTGAACCTCGTCAGCTACTTCTCGGCTTCTAAAGTAACTTTTTCAGTTTGTGTTTGCAGATAAAACTTTTACTTTGAATGCTTGGTTTTTATAGAGTGTAATAAAATAAGGTACAAGAAATATTAATTTAGTTGTGCTTTGCAAACAAAATGTAATTCTGGGGTGAAAACGTACAAATCTGTTCATGAATTTTATAATCATTAAAAATGGTTTGCGTTCATGTAAAAACGTTAACTGTTTCTCTTGCAAAAAGTACTAAGACACAAATAATTTTAAATAATAAATTCAGTAAATAAAAAAAAATCTAAATCCAGTTTGATTCTTTAAATAATTGGAAAGCTAATTTCAAAACGTAAACTTTAACTTTTTTCTTTTTTTTTTCATTTGAAGTTAATCGGCCACTGGAGTTGTATTTTTTTTTTCTTCTTCTTTAACTTTGATTTTACATTGTTTTACAGAAACACCATAAAAATAATAAATTTATGATACGATTAAAAAGGTGTTCTGTTCTGGGGCTGGTGTCAATGTCCCACACTAGTTTTGTAACTGAGGCCTCATGGGTCATTTTTACCTAATTTTTTTTTATTAAACCAATATAGTTACAAAAATATCTACTAATTTAACATTTAGGTGCTTTTGGACAGTGTCTCAAATAAAATGCTGAAATATTTCCAGCCTAATGGCTCATATTGTATTAAGTTTGTCGCATTTTGTTGTTGACCTCCAGACACTTCTTGTTCCAGAGGGATTTATCGCAGCTCTCTCTTCTTTCGGCAGTTTGCGTTGCCGTTCCTGCGACAGCGTCAGGGAAGCATCGTTAATGTTTCCAGTCTGGTGGGATCCATCGGTCAGAAAGATGCAGCTCCTTATGTTGCCACAAAAGTGAGTAAATGTGAGCACAGTCCATTTTATTACAAACTGAGCTGCTCTGTGATGTGACAACTTCTCCACAAGGGGGCGATCATCTCCATGACGAAGGCCATGGCTGTGGATGAGAGTCGTTATGGAGTGAGGGTGAACTGGTGAGGAAAACTGGTTTCTTTAATGAAGTTCACGGGGAGGCGGCAATAAAGGAGTCAACAAAAGAAAAATGTAATCTTAAGCTTAAAGAAAAAGTTTTTTTCTTCCACTTTAACGTGTCAAATATTTTACCTTTAAATATTAAGAAATAATAATCAGAAATTTATATAGCAAAACATTTTTTTTTCACATCAAGCAATGGTTTAGCTTCATTAAAACAGACACTGGTGCAGTGGTTAGAGCTGCTGCCTCTCAAGGAGAGGTTCGCAGGTCTGCTTCCTGGCAGGGGGCCTTTTTAAGAGTTTGCATGTTCTCTCCATACAGGTGTGGATTTTTTCAGGTTACTCTGGTTTCCTCCCACAGACCAAAAACATGCATGCTAGGCTGATTGGTAACTAAATTGTCCCTAGATGTGAGTGAGAGAGTGAATGGTTGTTTGTCTTTATGAACTTTGGATGGACTGGAGACCTTTCCAGGGTGTCCCCCACCTTATTTATGGATGGATGGAAGAAAAAAACAACACAAACATCTGGATTTACAGTTTTATCTACTAGTTTTCTTCCAAAAGCAGTTGACCTCTAAATCAAACCATTTGAGCAGTTCAAAGTGGAAATGTCTGCCTAAAACAATTTAAGGGTCTCTGCGAAGACAAACACCTGACATGTGTCGCAGCATCTCTCCAGGTAACGTGATGACACCTCTGTGGGAAGAACTGGCAGCACAGACGCCAGACGCTGCAGCTGCTATCAGAACGGGTGAAAATTCTCAGGTAAGGTGAGAAAAATACAGTTTAAATCAAAAAATTTGAACCTTGAATTACAGGAGCTGCATTTTAGTCTTCTGTTTCAGGAGGATTGAGCTGGTAGGTTTGGGTTTCTGCTGCCAAGAAGTTACAACATATCAGGTTACAGCGCTTCCATTGCTTCATTCAGAGAGGAAGATTTCAGTATATATAGACATAATCCCATCATAAATCAAATTTAGATCCAGATTCTAATCCAATTACAATTGTATTATAACGCAAAACATTCACATACGTCAATAAATGACGATTACTAAAGTTGTCTAAGCAGATAGCTTTAAATCTTCATCGCAATCCCTCATCCTGAGCAGCACGTTGGCGACAGTAGTAAGAAATGACTCCCATTTTAACAGGAAGAAGCTTCCAGCAGAACCAGAACCAAGGTCAGGACGAGCAGCCCTCTGACGGATGAGGATTGAAAGGACAGGGTTGAAACGTAAACACAGAAGGTTTGGTCCAGGTGTAGTTTTTATGGTCCAGGTGTAGTTTCTTTGGTCCAGGTGTAGTTTCTATGGTAAGAGAAACAAAGAAAATCATAGAATTGATGGCAGCAATAACTACATGTAGAACATGGAGAGCAGAGCGAGTCGAGACAGCAACAGAGTGAGGAGACGTGGTCAGTTTGGCCTCCAGCAGGCTAAGCCTATATCAGCAGAACTAAACTATAGCTCTGGAAACCCAAACCAACCCTAACTATAGGATTATTTAAAAAGGAAAGCCTTTAGCCTAGCCCTAAAAACAGAAACTGGAAGTTGGTCCCACAAGAGAGTCTGAGAACTCAAAGCTCTGCTTCCCATTCTATTTTTAGAAACTCTTGGAAACACAAATAAACCTGCAGCCTGACTGCTAAGTGCTCTGATTGGATAATATGGAATACAGTAGTCCCTCGTTTATTGCGGGTGTTTGAGACCACGCCCACCCGCTATAAGTGGAACAACCGGGATACAATAGTCCAAGTTCAAGTTCAGTAAACTTTGTCATGACATACAGGGTAATCACACTCATACTCCCAATCTCCCTCCTTAAACAATTTAAATACTGTAACATTTTAAATAAACGATCCATGCATCATGGATTGTTAATTTAAAAAGGTTACAGTATTTAAATTGTATAGAAGAGAAGTGCAGCAGGACATCAAAGGGTTAACCCTTCAGCAGCAGCAACACGGAGCAGAAATGTACTTTTTGATCAATTACACTGCAACGACTGAACATTGAAGTTCAAAAATAATTCAAAATAACTTTTAACACTTTTTTTATATTTTGTGATTATGACAATTTTACGATTTGAATGTTAAGTTGGAAGACAAAAGTCGTTCGGTGCATCTGTACGGCAAAGGGTTAACTTCACGAAGCTGATGCAGCAGGAGAAATGTGTGGGGCAGAGGAGGAGATCAGCTGCAGGAGGGAGAGTTCCCCTGCACTTGTGGGCTGCACACATGGTGCAAAATCATTTAAAAATAATTTATTTTAAATAACCCTTCGCTCATCCATCAACCAGCCAATTGTGTCATGTCCAATCTTTCTTTGAAAACAAACCGCGAAGTAGCAAGAGACTACTGTAGTAAGATCTTAATACAAGATGGAGCTTGGTTGTTGAGTGCTTTGTTAGATTTTAAACTATTCTGAATTTAACAGATAAAGAGAAGCTGAAACATGAGAAATATGATCTCTCCTTCGAACACTCATCAGAACTCCGGCAGCATCATTTTGGATCGAGGACTTTTTAAAAAGAGGTTTTTTTTTTTTTGGGCCACCCAGATAACAAAATTTACAGTAGTCCAGCCTGGTATGATAAATGTATGGACCAGTGTACTGCATCGTTTTGGAACAAGATGTGTAATTTTATTGATATTAATGAGTTTCTAAATGGTGTTTCATGGTGATGATGATGTTTTAATTATGTAGAAGCTGAGCTGATTTTTACAGATTAGTAGGAGCTGTGTGGGAAGCTAAACGGAAAACAAACGCCTGGTTCAACCAGTCACATGAGCTTTCTCCTCCAACAGCTGATGGGTCGTATGGGGACAGAGGCCGAGTGTGGACTGGCCGCCTTGTATCTGGCAGCAGACGCCACTTTCTGCACCGGCATCGACCTGCTGCTCAGCGGAGGAGCTGAACTCAACTACGGCTTCAAAAGTCAGATCTCAACCTGACCTTTCTGACCTCCAAGGAATCCTGTGGTTTTATGAGCAGCTGGGGATTCATTTTACACTGGCATGTCTGTTTACATGATTAACATTAACTTAAAAACAGGGAAATCGCTAATGCTGAAAAATAAAGTGTCACTTAGGTGTAGGTCACCTGATTGAGATTAAATTTTGGTATCTAGGCTGACTGTAACAAGACCTACACCACTCCCCGCTGATCGACCAATCGGCAATCATCTTCTTGCCCTGCAGTAACCTCGCTGCCTGTCAGCCAATCAGAACCCGGGCTTTTGACACGCCTCAGCTACCTTCCTGACTTCAACTTTAATAATAAAGTTTATACCTATTTTGTATTTGATGCCTTTTTCCACTCACTGGCATCTTTATAATTAAACGCACTTTCAAACTGATTTTAAATATAAACAGTGGTTTAATAAAAATTAGTTACATAATGTTTAAAAGGGAATGCTAACGAGTTGTATTTATGCGAAGCGGCAGCTGAGCGGAACTAACTTTGTGTATTATTTGTTTCCGCACGAACTATCACTCCCCGGTTTTATCAGCGCTACGTAAGGGAGATGGCTGCGCTCCGTACGGTGAGTTCATTCAATGATGTCCGCTGTTTACGACCGCTATAGACTGATAATCCAGGTTAAACATTAACGTCACTTATCAATAAATCGGTAGTCAGTGAGGAGATAACGTTTCCGGGACAACCGCCGGTTCACGCGCCCGGAGCGTTTGTCCCGCCAGCTCGGAGGAAAAAAAGACCATGAACCAAATCATATTCTGAATTATGAAGTTTATGTTTTCGGGGGGAAATGACAAAGGCGAAAAGTCCACTCAAATAATTTAGTTAATTCTTAAGGGTTCTTGTGTAAATCGGCTGGCTTGTAGTTTAAATATTTGTATCGTAAACTCTTAAAATGTAACGTTTTATAAGTGACAGTTCATCAGTGTTGTGACGTGTGCACCGGTAATAGTTTGTTTTTACCGAGTAAGTAACTCTTGAAATGGAAATCTCGGTAACGGGTTGATTTGTGAGGATTTCTGTGATCATACTGTAAATGATGTCCTACTTTAAAACGATCAACTAACGATATGCTTAAAATAAACTTAAGTGTCAAAATTACTGTTTGTTCTCCTTTTTCAGTTTTAATAATAAATGTTGACATGTAATTACAGTTTTGCCTCAGAAAGCTGATTTGAACGAAGGCTACATGCAAGATGTAGAAAAATGTGCAACTGCATGGAAAACTTGCATCATCCATTAACCATTCACATTCCATAAACTGGATGCATTTATTATATTCTTATACAGATAATGTAATGTCAATTTATACTTATGGCATGACCAAAAAATATCAAGGTTGATCAAAGTGTTTGACTAATTGGTTTAAATCAAGCTGGAAAAGATATCCATAAAATAAAAACAAAGTCAAACATAAAAACAAACAGGATAAAATGTGGACAAACCACTGCATAAAATACCTTATGAGACTCAAACAGCGTTGCTATTTGTCATGATAACTATACATCTTGGGTAGATCCCTCTTGTGCTCGTTGAGACATGCGCTATTAACATATTTTTAAATCCTGACTGCTGCAATGATCAAACATGCTTTTCCAATGTGTCCCACAGACATTGGTTTGGAGTTCTTGTTGTGTTCCTCAGACCACTTTAAAACATTTTTTTGCTGTGTGTCTGTTGAAAGAGGCCTCTCCCATCAGCAAATACCATTTCCATGAAAAAGTGGTGAACAACAATGATGAGGTTAAGGGTCAAATTAACATCCACATGAATGGCAGGATACTTTAGTTTCCATCAGAACATTTTTGAGGATCATATTACCACTGCTGTTTTTACCTTCCGGGCAATTCTTGCACATGTACCTGGTATTCAGAGCAATGAAAAAGAAACTATTTGATCAATCCAGACTACCTTATTTTATTTTTATTAGGTTGTTTTAGCAGTGCACACACAACATGAGCCTTGACAAGGATATCAGAACCAGTGTTGTCCTTTTCCTGTCATTTGAGCTGCAGTGGTGGATTTGTTGAATCTTATAACACAGACCAGCCTTCTCTCTTCACTTCACATCAATGAATCTTGGCTGGTGTAAACCCAGTTCTTCTTACATGGTTTTTTTTTTTTGTCTTTGGTTCAGTTTTGAAAAGTCCAGTCATCTGACGAGAGATGCTGCCATCATCATTTAACTGTTGTCAAAGTGATTTAAATTATGTTGCTCATTTTTTCTGCAACAGAATGTATTGGGGTGGGTTTTTTTTTTTCCCACCTGTTAGTGGTCACATTCTTCTGGCTTATCAACACACTTTGAACTGGTTACAGTTTAGCCATAACAACTAAGACCAGTGATATATTTTGAATATATGTTTTAGTAATGGATTAAACCAGTCTTTACAGGACTGCGTACATGAAACTTGGGCTATTGATGCTTTAACCTTATCGATATCAAATGATAAAATTATTTTTGCTCGTCAGCTTCCATCTTAAAGCCGAGCAGAAAAACTTGGAAGCAGACCAAACTAGGGACATGGAATTGTTAATGTTGCTGTATTTGTTGTTGCACGTGTCCAGTTTTCCGATTCTTTCTCAGCATTTCGCATTCCTCTGCAGAATCGCCTGTGTGCTTTTGTTGACAGTACAGTACTTTCTGTTTACAGCTGTGGCCTGCAGGTGTTCCTCAAGGTTGCATTAATTGTCTCCCTGGAAGAAAGGAACACTTTCCATGTTTCCTGGTAAAACTTACGATTCTGATAATCTTTTTTTTTTTTTTTTTTTTTTGCAGGCACTCCATGGACGACTTATTCAGCCCCTTTCTTTGTCCTTTGGCTCACTGCGGTTTGCCAGCTCCTTCAAGGTAATGAGGAAAATGTTAATTTAGTTTTTGCTCCCCACGTAAGACCAGTGTTCGTCACTGATTTACACGCTGATGTGTCTGAACGTGCCTTATTGTTTTGCAAAGAAAAAAGTACCCTTGTGTTTAAAGTTTCTCTCCTCTGTCTTCTTCTCACCGTCTTCCATGTTGTAATTATTTAATTCAGTTTAATTGAACCTAATTAGACAGGTCGACGTCTCACCTGACTCTGTAACCCTCCACTAAATGTGCTACAGCATGCTCTGCCGTTAACTGATTTGAAATCAATCACTGTATTCGTGGCCTGCTCTGCTCTCGTCCCGTCCTCTTCTTTCCTCTCCGGACCGTCTCCGCCTCAGGCAGCGGATCTCAGCATCGAGCGGAACACAGAATGCAAGCCGAAGCCCGACCCGTCCACGCTGTTGTTTGGCAAACAGTTCTCCGACCACATGCTGACCGTCAGCTGGTCGGAGAAGGACGGCTGGGAGGCGCCGCAGATCAAACCTTTCCAGAACCTGTCGCTGCACCCGGCCAGCTCTTCCCTGCACTACTCCATAGAGGTGAAGAAGCCCATAAGTCACTTCTGCTGTCATGTGAAGCAGCAGCTCTTTAAGAACATGTAGGAAATTGTAAATCAGATATCTGAATATTGATCGTGAGTAGATTTAGGCGGCTCACTTGTGGGTAATTCTGTAACATTCAGCTCCTAATTGAGTAACAAGCTCAAATGTCGGTAATTTCCAAGTTAAAGAGTTGCATGTTTCTGTCTCCTCTCCAGCTCTTTGAGGGCATGAAGGCGTTTCGTGGCGTCGACAACCACATCCGTCTGTTTCGACCGATGCTGAACATGGAGAGGATGCATCGGAGCGCGGAGAGGAGCTGCCTTCCTGTGAGTCTGGACCTCCTGTTCTGATTCTTGTGTGTACACACAGCGTGTCGCTGTCATCGGAGAGGCGACAGCCCTGAAAGAAGCTTTGAGACCATCATGAAACACAGAGGCTTTGTTCGGTCAGTCTGCAGCTGTGCATAACAAAACTTAGCTCCAGAGGAACGAGACAACCGTTGCTGCAGTGGAGCTGAAAAAACAGCCGAAGAATTCTGACTCAGCTTTTACTACGAGACAAAGAGCTGCAGCAGCCAGTCACACAAAAACACTTTCTTTTTAAAATGCTCTTTTTCTCCACAACCGTTCACAATAAATCCTAAATCGGCCACTTCGATTCAACTTTGTTTCATTTTACCACTAAAGTCTGAAACTTGTCAAACTTGGATTATTGTTTACTTGCAGGTCTTATTTAATTCAAATTCAAGGTTGAGTTTATTTAAACAAAAATGTGTTCCTCTCAGCTAATAGGTGCACAAATTCACAAGAACCAACCGAAAATACAACCAGAGGTTAAAATGGATGAGTTGTACACAAACCATCCATCCATCCATCCATCCATCCATCCATCCATCCATCATCTTCCACTTGTTCTGGACTCAGGTCTCGGGGGCAGCATCTTGAGCAGGGACGCTCAGACATCTCTTTCCACAGCCACCTCTTCCAGCTCTTCTGGGAGGACTCCAAGGTGTTCCCAGGCCAACCAAGAGACATCTCTCCATCTTGTCCTGGGTCTTCCCCTGGTCTCCTCCCAGTCGGACATGCCCGAAGCACCTCCCTAGGAAGGCACCCAGGGTGCATCCTTACCAGAGTTCATGACCAGAGTTGAGGGGAGGAACGTAGACCGACCGGTAAACAGAGAGCTTTGCCTTACAGCTCAGCTCCCTCTTCACCACAACGGACCGGTACAGAGTCCACAATACTGCAGACGCTGCTCCAATCCGTCTGTCAATCTCACGCTCCATTCTTCCCTCACTCATGAACAAAACCCTGAGATACTTGAACTCCTCCACTTGAGCCAGAACCTCACCCTCACACAAAACGCTTACGAAGAATATAAAAACGTCATGTTAAGTATTGATAATGTCTGTCTAATGACTTTATTTATTAAATAACTTTATTTAATTCTAAAGCTTCATATCAGCGTCACCCCTTCATTAAGGACAACAAAAACCAAATCCAAAACTCAACAGAATGGTGACATCTAAATAGGCAAAAACTTTAAAATATGCCATATTTCATAGTTGGCATTAACTGATTGTGTTTTTATTCCTAAGGAAATAAAATTATTTCTTAAAATGATCCACAATACTAAGGTTTTTAGCTGACTGTGTTCATTTTTGTCCATTTCTGCCTTTAATAGATGGATTTAAAAGCTAAATGTGTACAGATGCAAATAATTTTCAGATTTAGAGTAAAAAAAAAAATCACATTGATATTTTGTATTGTGTCATTAATTGATGTATTTATGTTTTTAGTTACAAACAGGTCATTTTCTGGTGCCTCTTTCAGCTGTTTGATAAAGGTGAGCTGTTGGAGTGCATAAAGAAGCTGGTGGAGGTTGACCAGGAGTGGGTCCCGTACTCGCAGAGCGCCAGCCTCTACATCCGACCCACCTTCATCGGAACCGAGGTGAGCTCGGCTGCGTGTTCTGTAGCTGTCCCGCCTCAGCTGAACCTGACTTGTTGCTCTGATTTCCCGCTCCTCATCACTCCCTCTCCCCTCATCCAGCCGTCTCTTGGCGTGTCTCGGCCTGGAAGAGCGATGCTCTTCGTCATCGTCAGCCCAGTTGGACCGTACTTTGCCACGGGGTCCTTCAACCCGGTGTCCCTGTTTGCGGACCCCTCGTTCGTTCGAGCCTGGAAAGGAGGAGTTGGAGAGTACAAGATGGGAGGGTGAGTTTTTATCTTTCATCAGCTCTAATGCAGATTTTAACTTTCTTCTTTGAGGTTTTGGTTTATGCTCATGAGTGTTCCAGGTTTTTAGACTCTCGTGTCCATTTTTAATGACCAAAGCAGCTCAAATGTCATCGAGTTCCGGGAACTGAAACAAACAGAAACACGAGATGTTAGAGCTGGTTCACCTGATTATAGGTTTGATAAAGACCTGACGCTGGTGCCGGAGTGGGAACGAGAGAAACGCTCTGAAACTGCAGCTCACGTGAAAAGTTTTCTTGCTCCGACCCCATAAAAAGACGAGCTGAGGCTTTGGGACGTCCTTGAGACGCTCTCAGAGGACATTTTAGGCGCCATGCCTACAGATATTTCAGCTGTTTGGAATGTGGAGAATTCAAAGGCTTTGTTCCTTCTTAAAACCCTCTTTGATCGAGCTTTTAAAATAAGATTTAAAAAAAAAGTAGGGTTGATTGGAGAGTGAGGGCAGGGTGGACAGTTATTGTTTTGCTCTAAATAAAACCATGTTCATGATTCAGGAGCTTTATTTTTGTTGTTTGTGTTGACATTGCTTAAAGCCCAAGATTACTGGTTTATTTATTTAAGAACTTTTTGAGTCACTTGTAGGAAAAATGTTTAAAAAGTCAAGCGCTAAGGCAATAAAACCTTTGACACTATTTAAAGTTGGTTCAGTTGGTTTCTTGTGGACAAAACAGCAGGTCAGCTGCAGAACTTCAGGTCAAAATGTGAGACCCGAAAACAAAAACGTGTTAAAATAGCTTCCAAAATAAAAGCCTCTGTAGGATCAGCCTGTTCTGACCACAGAGGCTGTTTACAGTCAGATTAAACTAATCTGTCAGAACAACAACTGGACTGGTCTGGAGGCGCGTCGGGTTCCTGTCCTGCTGGAGAGCAGAAAGCGTGTCGCTCTCTTCAGCTCTCCGCTCGTTCCTCTCGGCCTGCCAGCCTTCGGGCGTCCACGTGACGCTGCTTGTCCTGAAGCACCGTTCCACTCCTGTGAGGTTACATAATCGCACCGAACACCACGAGGAGTCTGCCCTCCTAAAACACCAGGAAGAGCTCCACCCTACAGCCTGATGTAACTGGGGGGGTTGGACTCCCTGCATCATTCTGCTTCTTTGTGTAAATTTTAGTTCTCTCTATTTCCTCTTTGTGCTTTTTAAACCGTTCGTCATCAAAACGTTCGGCTCATGCAGGACATTCCACCCATGACTTTTGAATTTTTCAACTTTTATGCTTTTCAAAATATTTATCTTTATTTACGGTACACAAAAATAATAAGGGGGAGTGGTGGTGCAGAGGTTAGAGAAGGTGGGCCTGTCACCGGTTCGGACCGACAACAAAATGTGGGTGGGAAAGGTGAAGCACCCACACCTGCCTCCACCCGCATTTGCCAGATTCTGGGCCCTTAACCCCCACCGTCTGCTCCCCTGAGCACCCTAGAGAGCAGCTCTCTGCTCCACACAGAGAGCTGTGGTGGCTCGGTGGTCTGTGGTTGTGTCAGGAAGGACATCCAGCGTAAAAACAATCATCAAGTCTTCGTGCGAGTTAGTTCGCTGTGGTGACCCCTGAAGAAGGAGCAGCCGAAAGAAGAAGAATAAGATCCCATAGAAATATATTGAGATCCCTCTTTCCTGCAGTTTGTTTTTCCAAATCTTCTTCAGCATACAAGCTCTGTTTTTATCATATTATGCTACTTTTAGTTAGCCTTTGGCCATTTTTAACTGTTAGCTAGCATTTTAATACTTAGCATTTGGATACTTTTGACCAAAATGTTTTGATTCTTTTAACTTAAGCTACTTTAAGTTTTTAGTTTGCATTTTGCTCATTTTAGCTTTTAGTTATTGTTCTTCTAGTTTTAGCTTTAAACACGTAGTTTTAACTTCTTCAGTTAATTTCTTCCACGTCGTTCGGTGCTCAACGTTCAAGCTGCATTTTTGCAGAAAATGTAATTTCCTTATTTGTAAAAAGTTTGGAGTCACTTTTTGTCAAAGATTTTCTTTTCTCTTCAAAATGTTTTAAAATTGTTGCAAATGTTTTTTTGTTTTTTTTTAAAGCCAAGTGAACGTGGTGCTAAAATGATTGTTTTACAAAGATTTATTTCAGAAAGTGTTGTTAAAAGGATTCGTCAAATTATTTGACTGCAGAGGCTTAAAAATAGATGAATCCATCTGCAGCTTTTTCACTAAAAACAACAAAAAAAAAATTAGTTTTACAAATTTATGTTCAACAGAATTTTTGTTGTCTTTGAGGATGGTAGGTGCAAGGTGCAAAACGAACTAACAAACAACAAAATAAACTCAGAAAACAGGATTTTAGTAAATGACAAAACTTAAAACTAAGAAAATAAAACTAGATTTCAGAAAATGTGACATTTCAGGGTTTAATTTTACAAAACCCAAACAGCTGCAGCAAGAAACTACATGCAGTTAAAAATTCAACAGCAGAAATGTGTGAGTTACTTTTAAATTACGTTTCTTGAAATGAAATAAATCAGAAAATGTTGATAAAACAAGCAGGACATTCTATAAAAGCTAAAAAGACCCGTCTTTATTTTATTTTGTAAACTCCGACGGTTACGCAGCATCAAGTCATTTGTGTTTGTCTCTCCTGTGCAGGAACTACGGGCCCACGATAGCGGTTCAGAACGAGGCGTTGAAGCGAGGCTGCCAGCAGGTCCTGTGGCTGTACGGAGAGGAGCAGCAGATCACGGAGGTCGGGACCATGAACCTCTTCATCTACTGGTCCAACGCTGAAGGAGGTGAGATCTCTGTCCGTTTATTAAAGTTTGCTCGGCGCTCTCTTCTTCATGTTGACGTTCGTGTCGGCAGAGAGAGAGCTCGTGACTCCTCCTCTGGACGGCATCATCCTCCCAGGAGTGACCCGCCAGTCCCTGCTGGACCTGAGCAGAACCTGGGTGAGCAGCAGATCCAGATTTCTGTCTCCGTGCCTTTTGAAACCTTCACAAGAGTTGTTTGTCATGGTTTGATGTGCTCTCCCCGTCAGGGTGAGTTTAAAGTGACGGAGCGGACGATGGGCATGAAGGAGCTGCTGCAGGCGTTGGACGCTGGAAGAGTTCTGGAGGTGTTCGGAGCGGGGACGGCCTGCGTCGTCTGTCCCGTCGGCAGCCTCCTTTATAAAGGAAAGGTACGAGTTCGTCTGTTTCTCAGCAGGTATCGTCCTGATGGTGTCCCGACCTACTGGTTGCTGCTTTTTCTCTCTTCGTGCTGTTGAACGCATCCCGTCTCAAATTATGAAAAAAACACAAGATCTTAAAGAAAACCAGAGAAATGACGCTTCCTGTGAAAAGGGTTGTTGCTGAACGCTGCTGAAAGAGGGTTCATCGCCGAACTGTTAACGTGAGTTGAATTTGAACAGCTGGCATTTGCTGAAAACCGGCAGAAAAAGGCAGAAAGCTGCAGAAAAACAGCCGAAATGAGCAGAGTAAGCTTAAATAGGCAGAGATAGGCTAAGTAATTAGAAAAAAACTGAAACTACTAAAAAAAAGAAACTGAAATGAGCAGAAAAAACATCTAAAAAGTAGCTTAAAAAGCAGGAGAAAAAAAATAGCTGCAAGAAGCACAAATTATCAAAATGTAGGGAAAAAAGCTAAAAGAAAGAATCTGAAAGGAGCAGAATTATAGCTAAAGGAGCTGAAGGAAGCTGAAAACAGTTGAAGCAGAAGAAAAGCTGAAACAAGCTGTAAACAGCTGAAGGCTTTGAAGGACGTGAAGAACTCCGTTCATTTTCAAATGAAGAAAAACATGGCCGACAAAGATAAATAAGAAAAAAGTAAAACTTGCGCAAATGCCAAAACTCACAGCTGGAACGTCCTGAATGAGCCGAACGTTGAAAGAGCACAACAATTGTGAAGCGTGTTGCGCGGCGGAATACGTACGGAAGATTAACGGATCTAAATGTGATTTATCTGTCTAAATAAAGGTTGAACGAATAAATGATTAATAAACGTTCAGACAGTAAAACATCTGCTTCTTTAATTCATCAGTTTGAGTCAGACGAGTCCATCAGGACAGAAACTACAACACTGTTCACAACACGGGACATTTTTATAACCAGGTTTTCTGCAGCGTGCTGCTGAAATTCTCTCGTTTGGGTAGAAGTGCTGACATCTCGTCCTTTTGGAATGAGCAGCGTTCTCTGAACAAACTGGTGATTTTATATGTTTAAAGTCAGAATCAACGAGAAGTGTCGGACAGATTTTCGCCTCCAGGACCGAACTCGTTAAACTTCAAACCTTTAAAAAGCAGATTGTCTCACGAGCCAATCAGATCAGGTCTTCGCCTGAATTGGACAAACAATGTTTGTGTCTTTTCACTCAGACATGAGAAGAAACGTGTTTGTAGATTCACCCTCACGTCAACAACGCACACACACACACAGCAACTCTTCTTGTCGCTGCAGGAAGTTTCATAAATGCTGTTGGACTTTCCAGACTTCCAGATGACGCTTCGGTGACTCAAGCGCCGTCGGTTTTGTTTTCCTTTCAGACGTACCAGATCCCCACCATGCAGAACGGTCCAGATCTCGCCAAGAGGTTCTACGAAGAGCTGACTGATATTCAGGTGAGAGCTGCGCTCCGCCTTCACATCTTGAAGTGAAAATTAATTATTTTAAACCCAGAAATCCTCGAGTCGCTTCTTCTCAGATTTTGACTTGAAATGTCAAAAAGTTCGAGTTAGAGGCCTGGCGTAACTTGCACGTCATCCACGATCTGTTTGTGCTCAGAGTGCGTGTCTCTAATGACTCTGAGCTACTACCACACTGAATTTTAGCTCAACATCTGCAAAACTGTTTGATTTAAAGACATTTTTGTGTTTGCTGAAGTTGAACAGATGTGGTGGCCATCTTGAATGGGGTTAACTCCAAATGTTAATCAGTTGTAGATGTTTATCTAAGGATTATTTTAATGTGAGTTTCATCTAAATCTGTCCACTAGTTTATGGTATATTTTGCTAACAGACTGACAAACAAACACGGACGTGGGCACAAACATCATTGCCTTTTTCTTTATTAAATCTGCAGTTTTTGTAGCTTTAGCTGATCTGACTTCCACCTCGATTCTGCAGCAATCTCAATCAGAAAATTAGTTTTCTAGCAATAATTTCCTTAATTATTTATTAATTGTAAGTTGTTGAGCATCATCCAGCAGCAACAGAATAATGAGGAGTTTCTTGTTTGATAATAAAATAAATAATTTGTGATTTTAGCAGAATTTTAATTGGAAATCATGCACTTCCTGTCGGGTCTGATTTCTCCTCCGCTCTGTTCCTCGCAGTACGGACGCAGACGGAGCGAGTGGGCGCCGCTGGTGGTTTAAAGGGCTCGTGTTGCACGTCCCGCTCATCTCGACGGTTCTGCCCCGCCACTCCAGTTCAGACCAGACGACTGCCGACACACTCCTTCTTCTCTCACCGACGCTTCTCGCCGCTCGGGCGGCTTTTTAAACCTTTTAAACGCTCCACCCTCCTCTTCTCTGAAGGCTCCCACTGGAAAACGGTTGGTGGTTTGAATGTGCGATCACAGAACCCAGACAGAACCAAACGAACCCAGACAGAACCAAACATCTAATAAAACTAAATCGGAATATAAACATTATAAAAGCACTTCATCGCGAGCCGCTGCTTCCTCCTGCAGGAGCAGTGAAGCCCAAACGCTCTGATGTTGTAGGTGAATATTTACAAAGCAGCTCCATGCACTATAACGTACACGTATCGACCCGTAGGACCTGTAGCTGTTACGTGTTGAGTAGCCGTCTTGTTACCGTCGTGTCCACAAACGATCCTGCAGCTCTCATGGGGGGGGGCACGCCACTTTGACGGCAGAGTTTGCACTGATGTCGAGAGGAGACGTCTTTTAAAAAAAACAAGTTTTATTTGTGACGAATGCAGAGAAACTAAAGAAGAGAGGGGACCGCGGGCCCTTACTCCTGCACTAGTTGGTGTGACGTCACAGACGGATTGGAGGCTTTTAAATTATTTTATCCTCGTGTTGATGTGTAGTTTGGACAGCTGTCTTCCAAAGTGTCACCAGATTCTTGCTGTTTATTTTTTCACTTTGTCCTTTTCTGTTTCTCCTCTTTATGAATGTACTTTTATTCGTCTCGCGTCTCCTTGTTGCCTCCGTCTTCCTGTGGAAGCACAACCTCTGACGTGTTTGTCGCAGTTTGTGCACTCCAGGATGTAGCTGGATACAGAAATCACTTTTAGTGTTCTGATTTTAAATGTGCTGTTCCATCTCTGGTTTTTACAATAAACCTGAACCGAGTTTGGTGGCTGTCTTTTTTTAAACTGACACCAGGGGGCGCTCGTACACAAATGTTCACAGGAAACGGTCTGCTACACAAACTGAAGGCCCACGTGCCAGATGTGGCCGGTGGAGCAGGTTTAATCGCCATGTGAGGTTGAAAGTTGATAATGTTGACAGATGTAAATGTATTTATCAAAGTAATCACTGGATTTATTCGTCTACAGCTGATCAACTTCTGGAGGCAGCTCCATTACAGCAACAGTTTTAGCTTTTAAAAACAGAGCTTGTATTTGTTTCATCAAACTGAAGTTTTAATCACTTTGTGCCGCAGGTTAAAAAGTTTTAGATTTTGTCCCCAAAAAAAGGCTAAAATGTGTCTTTAAAGTTTATATTTCTCACAGTTCAATTTAATTTTAGATCAAAACTCGTGTATAAAGTAAAAACATGTAGGTTTACTGCTGTAAAAAAACAAAGGAGCCTTTGTTGCAGCGACATAGTCTGTAATGTTCTTTTCACATAATTACAATTTACAGCCGGTCATTTACAAAATTTAATAAAAGTGAGAATCGTTTTATGTTTATGTTGATTAATCTGTTGGTGAAATAAAGACGTTTGGATAAAAACATTTACTAAAATCTTTGAGAGAATTCCCTCTTTTCCATTTATCCCCGAACATGAAAGTTTTCCTGGAATCCTCCAGGAGAAAGGTTTCAGAAGTTTTTATGGCTTGAATTAGTCTTTGGAAGTTTCCCCCCTCCCCAGCAGCTAAACATCGGCTCATTCCTTGGAGCCAGAGCCGAACAGAGCCGAGGCGCTCCGACCCGCCGGGTTGTACAGGAAGGCTTCGATCTCTCCTCCGCCGTTGCCGTTTTTCTGGAAGTGGATCTCCAGCAGGTCCTGTAAAGTCTCCTGCTCCATGATGTCGGGGATTCCCGTCAGCAGAACCGTCCGAGGGCACGTCGACACCCGGGTCTGGATCAGCAGAAAATCAAAGTTAAGACTTTTTTAAAATTAAAAACGTGGCCGAGTCTGAAGCCGTGTTCCTGAAACAAACCTCAAAGTTTGAGATCTTTCCGTTCAGGAAAGGCGTCACTCTGACTTTGTGCTTCGTTTGGCTCAGCTTCACTTCATGAGACTCGTTTTCTGTCAATCGTTTGGCAACTGATGGAAAAACATTTATTCCACACTTTAAAAAACACTAAGTGAGCAAACGCAGTCAAATTTACAGCCATGGGAAAAAAAAACTTATTTTAACCAAAACCATTCAAATCCAACCTGAAGTGTCTAAATAGATCCCACCGTGTCACAATTTATAAAATGTTAAAACAGGATTCATCTTTGCTGCTGATCGTCACACGTTTGCTGCTTTTACTCCTTTATTTTCCAGCTCATCTAAAAGAACGACGCTTCACATCAAATATCAAAACAAGTGAATGTAAATACATCGAGTTAGCCAAGAGCCAGTTTTCCATCAGAAGTTTTTAGCCTAAAAAGAGGCATCTAAAGTGTAAAAGATTAAACTGTGTGGATATAAATAAAACGCTGGAGCACTCGGGTGTGGTAACACAACACCAAGATGGAAAGACATCAGCAATGACCTTAATCAGTCTGGAAAGGGTCATTCCAAACATCTGGAGTCCATCGTTCTACAGAATGGAAACGTTTAAGACTCCTGCCAATCCTCCCAGCACATTCACCCCAAAGGTCAGACCGTGCACTGCTCAGAGGAACGAGCTCCACCAGACTCTACAGGCCTCCGCAGGTCAAAGGTCATGACCTCTTCTGTACGGCAGCACGGCTTCTGTTTGGAAAGTTTGATCTGAAGGAACCGCAAGACTTCTGGAATGAACCCAGACCTAAAGAAGTTTACCCAGAATGCACTGCAGCGAACAGCTCCTCCAGCTGTCAGCACGGGGGTGGAGGGCTGATGGTTTGGACTCCTGTCGGTCACAGAGTGGACCAGGAACTGTTCTGGAGTCAGATGTTAGGCTTGGACCAAACTGGGTCCAACAGGATCAAGATCCCAAATGCAGCAGCTGATCTACAACAGAACGTGTCAAAAAGAGGTGCTGGTCCAGTCAGAGTCCAGAACCTCTGGTGGGACCTTCAGAGAGTTGAGCAGAACCCTCCAGGAACTGAAGCAACGCTGGAAAGAAGAGTGGGCCAAAACTCCACGACTGAAACAGAACCCACTACTGAGAACTTTTGTGTTGGAAGAGGTTCTACAAGCTGCTGGGTCTGGGCCGGGTCAACTGCATGTTTTTTAAACGACGACTCGTCGTTTTTGTTCAGTTCAGGTTGGATTTGAATCATTTCAGAACCAGACAAAAACCGGACCGTGTTCTGATTTATAAACCCCCCGTTTGTTTTCCTCACTGTGTTCCTCCACGAACGCGATGACCACGGTCCCCGAGTCGGGCAGGAAGTCGCAGGCGTCCACCTCCCCGCCTCGGTTCTTGGACTTGGAGAAGTGGATCTCCAGTTTGTTCAGCAGCGTCTCCGTGTCCATCCTGGGCAGGTTGGAGACCAAAACCCTGCGGGGACACACCTCTGAGTCGATCTGCAAGAGTCCACATCAGAACAGGAAGTTGACGGGCGGCGCCGCTCTGGAGCTGCGATCGAACTCATCGGGTCGTTTTTTTTACCTCCACCAGACCGGGCAGCATGAGGTGGACGGGCCGGGCCTCCACGGTGATCCTGCACTCCCCGCCCAGGTCCACTCGATGCCTCTTCCTGTCCAGAACATTCCTCGCCACTGAAGACACAGACAGGTGATTTAATCTAACTAGATTAATAATTTGTTTATAATCCGGCTGCTGATCACTCGTCGTTGGAGGCAAAAGCAGACGATGTAGCAAAAAAATCTCATGAAGTACAGATTTTAATAAAACTCAGGAAATAATCCCTGGATGCACGTCAACCTTTTCAAATAATCTGCCTTCAAGATGGCCGCCACGTTTTAGAAAACACGACTACAACTCGTGAGTTTTTCAGATCTTGAGCTCAATTTTCTTGTGGTAGTAGCTGAGAGTCATTCCCAACACGCACTGGAAGAAGAGCAGCGGGCGATATGCATCCCTCCAATGAATTCTCGGTTTTTAATTAAATTATTAGCTCGTTAGCAGCTCAGATTATGAACTTTACGTAAATTCAAGATGAGCGTCGGTTAAAAACCTGCTCGTTATTTGTGGTTTAAAACTTGTTTTTCTTCGCTCCATGTTTGAATTTTTGTGTTTTTCAACCGTTGTGTTGCTCTGGAGTATAACTACCGGAAGAGGAACTCACCGTCCTCCTCCTCGAACGTGATCAGCGCCGTCCCTCCGTCCATCGGGTACACGATCTGAGACTTCATGTCAAACTTCTGCCAGTCGTCGGCGTCTCCCGTCTGTCCCCTGAAGACGAACTTCTTCTCCGGCATTGCGCAGAACACCTGAAACCAACGGGAATGCGTTCACAGCAGGTGAGGGCTGCGGGCGGTCTGGACGGTCGGGTTCACCTACGTCTGCGCGCTCCTTCAGGCGGGCGTTCCGGATCTGCTCCTCCTGGATATCGGCCTGGACCTTCTGGATCTGCTCCATCAGGTCTCCTCCATCCTGCTTCAGAGAACCCAGCTTCCCCTGGAGATTCACAAAGTCACCAAACGTCAGCTCAAACTCTCCAAGACCGAGTTAAAGACATGTTTGAGTTAGCTGTGGCGGCCATCTTGAATCGTCTCAGCTACTACCACCCTGAATTTTAGCTCAATATCTGTAAAACTGACAAAGTCATACAGGCTTGACAAAAAATGTGTTTAAGAAGGGTTGTGTCGTTTAAAAAATATATATATTTCAAATGTTAAAAAAATAAATAAATAGAGAAGTCTGCTCGCTGAAGCTGAAACATCAGAAGTAAAATATTTTCAGACCTCCTCCTTTTTCATCTGAGCTTTGTAGGAGCGCTTGTCCATTTCCAGCTCCTGTTTCAGGTTCTCCGTGCGCTCCTCGAACTGCCGGGCCAGATCCTGCACCTCCTCTTTGCGATCGCGCAGCTCCTTCTGCTCCTTAATGAGCTCATCGTACTTTTTCTGCGAACCACATTTATTCTGAGTTGAGTGGAGTCGACCAAAAACTCCAGCAGCCAAAACCCAGATAATATCGTTTACGACCATTACGGTCGTAACGAGCCAGCCCAGAACAGAACCAGAACTGGTTTTAATGCAGTATTTGCCCATTTTCAGACTGGTGAACCCCTGCCCATCTTTACTTCTCACAGATTCAGTTTCACCCTTCTGCTTCAGTTAACTTTATTAGTTACAAAATGCTCCTCCAGCTGTTTATTATTCAAACCACTTGTCGTTTCAGCCTTTTGTTGCCCCTGGAACAACTTTATTTTTTAGACGCCGTCAAATGTAACTATTTTTTTTTCTTTCCTAAAGTGATTTAATTTCTTTTTATATGCTTTTTGTGCTGCACTGAAAGTAAAATATGTCTCTGTGAAACTTGCAAACTTTTCTTATAATTAAAGTCTTTAAATCTTTTGCTTCCAGACCTGATTCTATCGTTTTATTTTTATTTAAAGTGTTATCAGCAGAGGAAGACACCTGGAGGAGCAGTATTATTTGTATTTTATGCAAGATAATATTTGAGATTCCCCTCCACGTGTTGCAGATCCTGTCAGTTACATTAAATATAACCAGATGTAAACATTACAGATGTGTGTCTTCACCTTGTAGTTTTTAATTAAAACTTTGACTCCTTCCAAAGTGTCTTCTGAAGGTTCTGGGTCCACCACCAAGGATAAATCCTGTAAGATGGTGGAGAAAAATCAGGCTTGTGTTTATTGATATGGTAAATAAATAAGCTGTTTTAGTGAAAGTTGGGTTAAAAACTATCAAGTGCCACAATCGGTAAACAACTAAACTTGATGACGTCTCACCTCTTCTGATGACATTGTGAAAGTAACCTGAAATAAATCACGAAGTATTACCAAAGTTGGCGTCATGTCTCAACAAAACATTCAATAATTATGAAATATAAATAAATAAAGCCTGCGTGACAAGAAAAAACAACTCAGCTGAAATTTAGTGAGATTTGTTTAAATACGATTTAAACACTCATAACACGTAAAGTTTACATTTTATTTGACTTTAACAAGTTTAAAATACATTTGATTAATAGCTTATTAGATTAACATTATAGATTATTTTAGTAAAAGAGTCGGCTCGGTGTGAACTCACCTCAAGACGAGCTAAAAGTTTCGTTTATTCTTTCAGTTTCTTTTTCTCATCAGCAGAAAGGCGCATGCGCCAAACAGACGGACACGGTGCTGTGTTCAGGCGCCCTCGGACATCTGGGATGTCGGAGCGTTAAGAGTAAAACACGGAAATGAGTCCGTTTATATAACGGATCACATTTTTTACGACTGATTTGTTTATATTTATTCTAGATTCATTTAATTTTGTCTGATTATAAGTCACTGCTCTTTTCAGTTATTACAGTATAAACTAAACAAAAATGCATGTAATAACAGCATTGTTTGGTTTACAGGTAATTTTTTTTTACTGTATCTTCCCTTTTTTTTTGGGGGGGGGGGGGGGGGGAGTATCTGAAATATTCAAATTTTAGTTATGTAAAATCAGCTGCTGTGCATTTAGCAATAAATTAACATAAATCAGATCCTAAACGGTAACGTAGGTTTTAGATTTGTAGTGCTACAAAAAGCTAATTTATTTGTGGATTCAAACTTTTCATCTGGAAGTAAAATGGTTTAATTTAAAAAGTCAAAGTTGCAAGGATAAATACATGTATATAAAACAGATGAAGTCATTACAAAACAAAAACTATAAAAGGATGTCCTGATGCGCGCTCAATAATCCAGGTAGAAAAATCCCACGGTGGAGTTACATTAATCTGAACTGCAGTACTCTGATCTGTGCAATGAACATTTTTAAGTTCAACTTTGTGCATTTAAAAGTAAAATGTACAGCTGTGAAATTGTGGGTTTAAAGACGACGTGGATGTACAGGTGATGCAAAAGCTTTAATTCATCACAACTTTAGTTTTCCAGCAACTCACATGAAAAAGTTTTTTAAGCAGAACTGAAGATACTTCACTCAAAAAGTATTTTACAGCTGACCTCCGAGGAGATCTGACGAGTTTGGCCATTTTTCTAAAGCAAAGTTTAGATGACACCTAAAGATGAAAATGTATTAAAAAAAAAAAGAATCAAGATTCAAATGTTTTTTAAACATTTATTTTGTGAAACAAGAGTGAAGTTAGAATCTGAGCTTCTGGAAGAACCACTTGTTTTTGCCCGTCTTGTACCTGAAAACAGAAAATAAGAGTTCAGTTAAATCTTCACACACGGCAGCAGTTTTCAGAACTCCACCTAAATAAAAACCAACAGGAGAAAAGTGTGGAAACTGACCTCTCCTCAAACTTGACCTTTGCCTCCCGCCTGGCTTTGCGTTTGAGAGCAGGATCCCTGAAGACGTCCTTGTTCACGACAGTTTTGTCCAGAGGAATATCCACAGAGTATCTGAGGAGGGACAAGCAGAAAAGTTTTTCAACCTGAAAATAAGCAACATCTGAGCAGCTCCTGCACGAGACATAAACTTCTTGCTTAAACATATAAAATAATTTAAAACATTTTAAAATTTTATCGATGTGCCGGACAGATTACAAGTTTGAACATGTTTAGACTCCTGTTTCTTTTGCATCCTGATGATAGAATAAAAAAAAAAAACTCAACGAACAGAGCGGAAAACACGGTTAATTTTATTTAGGCAAAAGAAATCCTTCAGTGAAACTATTAAGTCAACAGCAAAAAATGTCTGAAGGGTTAGAAATATTTAAAAAAATTTATCTAAAAAGTTTAAAAGTCAAAAGTAAACTGCTTCTTTACTTTATGGTCATTGTCATAATAACAGTTATGGATAGCAACGAAACTTTGATAGAGAATCATACACCTACACATTAATAAATGAGCGCATAGTGGCGCTAAAGAACTTTGCAGGGTTCTGATGATCAATGTGAACACAGATAATAAAACAGCATCTAAGGACGGGATAAAAAGGGAAAAACTAAACAGCCACATGTTGAAGGGGTAGTTGTTGTTTTCTGTAGCAATGCAATATCCATTTCACGGTTGTTGTCATAATGGGGGAGTGGTGGCGCAGCGGTTAGAAGATGGGCCTGTGATGGGAAAGTCGCAGGTTCACCTCCCGGTACCGTCAACATCAAAATGTGGGCGGAAAAGGTGAAACACCCACACCTCCCTCCACCCTCATTCGCCCCACTCTGGGCCCCTGAGCAAAGGCCCTTAACCCCCACCATCTGCTCCCTAAAACAGGTCTCTCTTGAAAATGAGTTCTCGTGGCTCAATGAGACTACCTGGATAAATAAAGGGTAAATGAAAAAAATAAAAAAGAGAGATTTGAGATGTCAGGATAGTGGGCGGGGTCTCAGAGATGCTGTTCGTTTAACAACCTCACAGACTTTGAGCCATTCTGGTGTTCCTGGCACCTATAGACCGGTACCTTCTGCCTCAGAGTACCAGATGGAATAGGTACCGGTCCTGCAGAATGTTGTTGACTCGTCTGAGACAGCGGGTTGTACAGACAGTTCAAATATCAGATAGTAGAAATAAAATGTTTCTTTTCATGCAGAAAAAATAAACCTCAAACCAAAACAAGCCTCCATTTAGGAATTTTACACAAACTGAAGCAGATTTTACTCTTAATGCAAACAACCACGATGTTCTCTCAAAACTGTACAGCCAAAAAAACTAATTAACAGCAAGAAAACAAAATACTGTCACTTAAACTGAATGAGGCAGAATTTATGTCAAATATAATTACTGAGCAGGGGTTTAGATTTCATCTGCTGTAATTAAAAAAACAAGTTAGTTTGAAACATCTACAAAGTGTAGTTTTAACTCCAAACACCGGTTCAAGCTTCGATTTACAAACTTACCTTTAAGCTGTCGATCTATTAGATCATTTTGAATACGTTTAAACGTTAATTTAATTATATTGTGCCTGATTTTTCAGAGACCAGAAAGTTTATGAAATGTAAAAGAGAAAAACCTCAGGATAGAAGTTGATGAGGTGTGGACAAGTGTCTGACCTGGTGGGCATGAGGTGGTTGTAGTTGAAAACCTTGACGAAGGCCTTGATCTTGGACCTCTTGGCGATCTTCTTCTTGCCCATGGTGGTGGTCACTTTACGGGGGTAGCGGTCAATGCCCGCGACCAGAGCGTGGCTGTAAGGACGGTCAGCTGTGCCGTCATCGATGTTCTGCAAAGAAACCAACAGATGGTGGCATCAGGCGATGGAAATTATTTACTGCTTGGACCTCATTTCAGCCACAGGAAGCGGTTCTTTATCTTCTCCTGATATCACCGTGTCAAAGCAGGAGAACAAGACAGTCCATCTTAAACTGGTCTCACTGGGCAGCAGCTGACAACAGATTGGCAGCATCGAGCTAAATTCTGAGAGCTTACCAAGGAACCAGTAAACCAAGCAGCCCAAGTTGTGTGTAAAACAGTTTTTGTTGTGTACGTTGTCTCCGCCTCAACTTTTTTCCTTTCTTCTATTAGAATACATTTTTGAAATGATAAAGAAACTGATTTGAACCAATTTTTAATAACTACTGTTTGTTTACATGATTTTAGACCCGGATGTTCGGGGCTGTTGCCTCAGATGTTTGTGTTAAGAAGTTGGACTCACACTCCACAAAGTTTAGAAATCTGCTTTCATTGAAGTTGTTCTGTGACAAATATGACATCACTTTGTTCTTGCATGAGCGACAACCCATTCTGTGCACAAAGATTAAACTTCTCTTGCAGTGTGCATCAACTATTGTGTGATTGGACGTGCACACAGGCGGCTTTTCATGGCTGTGCTCGCCAGGAGAGAGTGCGCTTCAGCAAAGCAGCGTAGGGACATGTTCCCTTGTTCTTACGATATGTCTGAAATTGTCTTTTCAGGACATGTTTGCGAATGACAAATGGCATTTTTCGTCTCAGACCGCATAATAATGTATGGTCGTGGTACAGGAAGCAAAAAAAAAAATTCTGTAAAGCGAAGTAAGAGTGAAGACCTTTCCAGGAATTCTGCGCTGCAGTTTCTCATGGAGTATGGTCAATCCAGTCCAGGCCAAACAGAACGTCTCAAAGACATCAGCGAGAGCAGACTTCACTTCTCGAGTATGCATCCAGCTTTAACATGCATGTGTCAAAGTACATCTCAAATGCTCAAAGATTTAAATAAACTAAATTGAGAACAAAAAAATATAGGCAAGTATAAAAACAAAAAAGTCCATGCTCAATAATCCAGGTATACAATTCAACAATTTTCAATCAGGTCATCTGGACAGATGACCTGATTGAAAATTGTTGGAAGTATAAAAACAATTTACAGAAGGATTTTGAGAACCATTACCAATTTTTTTGGTCATTTTAGAGACGCCATCACAAGTTGTTCTTGATGGCTGCAGCTCAGTCTTTGCTTTAAAAGTGCCACAAAACAGATGATCAAAGTTTTTTCCCCATGGGGAAGTGGATTTTTATTTTTTAGACAATGCGAACACATTTATTAACCTGAATCTTGCAATGACAAAGAGATTTCAGAAATTTCAGACTTCATATAATTGACGGTTAAGTGATTCCATCAGCTCAAACTAGTTATTTACAACAGCACATTAGCAATGATGGAGCCCAATTCGTTCCCATCAGACAAGTCCAATGGAAATTTGGTACCAATTACAGTAAAAATCAGGGCAGCTTCACATTTCCATCACAGATAGTTAAATTAAACCTTGTTTTACCTTCACGATGACAGCTTTGCGTCCGGCGTAGCGTCCAGCTAGGACCATCACCACCTTCCCAGGCTTCATAAACTTGCCCATTTCTGTCGGAACGAACACAAGTCAGTTATTTTTAAGTGTCCTTGCACAGGTCAACACTAAAATATAGAAACATGTTTTATTTGAAGTCCTGCTGCCGAGTTCTTACTCCGACTTGCTAGCATAAAGCTAAAGATCAGCTATGAAACAGCAGCAAAGCCCATTATTATCGATCTAATAAACAACCTAAACGTTTTAAACACGAGCCAAGTTGTATAACAAACAAAACGGTTTAATGTAGAGCCAAATCTTGTAAAGCAATCTGCTGAAACCGACTGCTACATGCTAAACTGAACGTTAGCGTCAAGGGAGCAGCCATGTTGAAAACGGCACAGTGGAGCGAAGTAATCCCACAAAACCGCTCTATTTCTCCATCATCAGCCATAAATACACAAAATATCAGAGGCGTATTGACTAAAGGAATGATTGTTGTGCATATGTTTTCACAAAGATGAAAAAATAAGTCATATATGAGGCGATGGATGCGGATTGCTAGGAAGAAAACTTCACTCACTGATGCTGTTCTACAGCCACCGCTGACAGGAAAGGAAGCCCGGAAGGTTTTTGTGAACTTTGACCCCCGGCCGCCATACGTCACTTCCGGAAGTTGAAGGGCTTTTTACCAGGTTTTTTTTTATGATTTTTACCATGATTTTTACGATTTAATAAGTTTTTCTAAATATTACTCCAAACTACGAGAAGTACTTCCTGTGCGGTTAAAAACGGACATTTGCTGAACCGTGGCTAAAAGTCAAAATATGAAACAGAAGCTAAAAGCTAACTTTACTACAACTATAAATCATGTTACATTTAGGAGGGGAAGTAGCTAAAAGTTTAGCATACTTGTAGCTAAAAAGTAAAACCAGTAAAACAATAGCTAAAATTAGCAAAACAATAGATAAACCTGAAATTAGAAAAACAGTAAACTCTAAGATCAGTTTAACAGTTGCTAAAAGCAGTAGGTAAAGGCTAAAATTAGCCTAATAAAAATGCAAAAGCTAAAATGAGCCAGGACAATTTTTTTAATTTTTTTATGTGAAACCAAAGTTGTTAAAACTGTTTAAAAATTACAAACGTTACAAACACAGAAAGTCTTATCACCAACCTCCTGAATAAACTTAATGTTTTGATGGTTAAAATTGCTGAATTAGATAAAAAAATTAATTAAAAAAAAAACTACAGGAGAAACAAAATTATAACAAAAACAACTAAATCAGCATTCACTGTTGAAATGACATTTTTATCATAGGATCGGTGTGATTAAAAAAAAAGGCATTTGTTTTAAAATCTAAATTAAAAAAGTCTTGAGAATTGTTTAAAAAATAAATAAATAAATTGTCTTTTTTATTTGAATTTCAACAAGTAATGACCACATTGGGGAGTTGGACTTAAAATTGTTTTTGTAACTTAAAAGTTTAAACAAACAAACGATGACAACAAATAAATAAATAAAAAATCACAGCTTTTATTTACCATCCATGATTTATTTTTACAACACAGATTTACATTAAATATGATAAAAACTAACCATTCATATCTCAACATATATTTTCTGTGATTAGATATACAGAAATAAAAATAAAAAATATAATTTAACTGATCCCTTCAGACTGAACATCTAGTTACTATACAGAAACTACAATAAGTGGTTTATCCTGTAAATAAATTAAAGAAACAAAACGAAAACGTGATAACATCTACATTTAGCAAAACAGAACAATTTTTTTGAACAAGTGCACTACAATAAAAATTAGGTTTTTACCTCAGGAAATACAGCTGTAAGTTTGATACATACATGTGGTCACAGAAACACCGTTTCATTTTATATTTTACCAAAACAAACAGCAAACATCTGTCATTATACATTCAGCTTTTAGGGATACGATTCGTTCAGCTCGGTTGATTCTGCAAGATAAAAGACCGTCTGGAATAAAAAATAAACCCGTTAGATGCAAAGACATCTTCATGTCTTGGGTAGCAGCTCAATCGGGGTCGAAACGCTCTCGTATCCGACAGACTGCAGCTTCGTTTAAGACGAAAGCTGATCCCTCAGTGGAAAACTGTCCCCTCAAGTGCGCTCTGATGAAAACTGTAAGACACTTTTCAAGCCGACTGCAGTGCTTTGATTTCAGCGCTGCGGTCAACCTTTTTGCTACACGTGATTTACCTGCTGATGTAACGGCGCCTCATGTTTTTTCCTTCTACAAACAACCAGTGAAACCTCCTGGGTACTGGGTTGAAGTCGCAGTAGTGGACAAATTTCTGCTCCTGTTCTTCTCGAACTGGTCAATATTAAGAACTCTGCAGTCTTGCTGCATAGTCAGGGCACTGTTAGATACAGCAGAGGGTGATACTGTAAGCTGAGCACAGGTCACAAAGGTCAAGAAGGCTTTCTAAAGGTGAGGTCATCTCAGTCTTAACTCTAAGGCATGTTTACAGTGCAAGCAGTGCTGCCTTGTAGACGTTTTGGCATCTTAAATGGGATATGCAGACTAACACAACATCCATGCATGTACTGCTGGCATCACATACGTTCACTTCACTTCACTTTCGATGGTTGATGATTTAAAACGTAACGTTTTTGAAACACACCGTCGTGTTTTTGGTCCTGAAAACAAGCTAAGAGCAGCGTGGTTTAGCTGATAAAAAGCTGTAACATTATTTTGCCTAGTCAGAAAGCATCCTTGATGTTTTTGAGCTGCCGTACAGCCAGGTCCACCGGGAGGTTGAACCTGAGGTGGCTGATACGACCCAGGATGCGCAGAGCTCCTTCGAAGCCAGTCTGGGCCATGTAGCTCCACGACTGGTAGTGCGGGTGTATCAGAGTCCCAGATTTACACAGCAGGTTGAGCCACGATACAAGCCGCTGCTCGTTCAGAGCCATGCACACCAGAGCTTTGAACTCCGTGTCCGGTCCTCTCTTGTAGCGCCCGTGCTCCTTCAGAACCGTGTGAATGGCCCAAAGCAGGGACTGCTTCGGGGTGACTTTCCCTGGACCGCCACCTACGTTCAGGCTGAAGGACTGAGAGAGCTGACGAGCCGGTGACTCCACAAAGGCCTTCCCGTTTTTGGAGTGGTAGTACTTAACAAAAAGTTCCCATGGATGCATAACTTGTGGGGCAGGTCTGTAAGGAATAAGGCAGGAGATGGGGGCCAGCACCAGACTCATGGTCTGGGAAGGTGAGAAGAGACCATGAGACAACAACTCCTTCAGAGCAATTGCCAGCTCCTTCCTTACAGCTGTGGTCAGCTCGTCCCTGGCACTGAGCGTAGTCATGCTGGTGTAGCTGACCACATGTTCGACTGAAGGGTGTCTGCAGGAGCCCAGCACTCGCACAGTCTCCACAGCTGCCTCCAGACGCTGCAGCAGAGGGCCGTAGTCCTGCCCAGCAGAGTCCTGAGGCCACATGTTCTGCGGGATGTGGCCGGCAGAGCAACCAAACTGACTCGCAGCAAAGATCTGCAAAACAGCGAGCGCCTTCTGGATCAGCTGAAGGCCAGTTTCACGCATCCTCTGGGCCTGCTCTGGATCCACTGCAGGGTACAGAAGAGTGGCGGTGGATAGAGCGGTTTAATAAATGCAAGGAATATAAACCTTTTGATAAGATTCAAATTTTTTTTAACAGTTTTATTACGCTTTTCTTAATAAAAATACTTGCCTTTCTTTTTCACTCCTGGAGTTCTGGCATTGGTCCCCGCTGCTTTCGGCTGCTGGCTCGGTCCAGCATCTGACAATAATGGGTTTCCCACCTCATCTTTTTTTGGGGGGAAAAAGACAAAACTCTGATTTAAATATGCAATTATGCATAAAACACAGAGATTGTAGCAAAGAATGAAGCATTCGATGACACTTCAGAGGCCTGCGTACCCTGGATGAAGTTGATAAACATCTCCAGGTCCCTGATCTGGGTTTTGAGCTGCTCCACCAGCTGTTCTTTGACTCTGGCTGGGTTCACTATCTGAGCGATGGCCGCGTCCACTCTCTGCCTCAGCTCCTCCGGGGACAAGTTCCCGATATCCTCGTTCAGATTTACGTCCAACTTTTTGATCAACTCGTCGATAATAACCTGGAAAATGAAATAATTCATGGTTTATGCACGTATATAGCTTATGCGGTTTTATCTGGGGAAAGCTTTACATACAGCTCCCACTGTATTTTTATCTGTATTGTTTGACTTGGTGCTTTATCGAGTTGTGCACATAAATAAAAGCAATGAAAAAAGGGGAATCCTCTCTTCTTGGGTGCAGCTCAATGACACGTCAATATGACTGAAAAAATGATGATCTGATGTGTTTGATCAAACAGCAGGAGAGGGGACAGGAAATATGCAGGTGGTCATTTTTGGGGCACTTTTCTCCTTCCATCAATCAAAATAAAGGTTTTATCACAATAAAGATATTTTTTCAGGTGACATTTTGATTTATTTTATACAGATTATATTGTGTATTTTTTGTGCAATGCACATGTTGCAGATTACAATCAAACAACTGAGCAATGCCTCACAAATCAGCGATTTAAGGAGCTGTTTAAACTGGCCTTACTTAAGTTCAACCTTCAGTTATGTAAACAGGGAAGTGCCTTTTCTGGGAAAAGCAAACAAAAAAAAACTACACAAATATGTCACTTTAACTGTTTGCAAAATGACACGTAGTTTTTATGTGATGGGACTGAAGTACGGTGTTTTTACTTCACAAACCTTCTGTCTTTCCATGACGATGGACTGCGGCAGCGAGTCGTAGCTGCCCTCCTGGTAGGCGAAGTGTTCCAGATCATCCAGCTGCGTCTTCAGCTGGAAAATGAGATCTTTTTGTTTCTCCCTCTGAGCTTCCAGACGCTCCCTCTTCTCCCTCTCGCTCTGACAGGAAACACAAATATACAAAGGTAAATACACTGAAACACTGCCCAGGCTGAACTTGTTTTAAGTCCGTGCAGCTGGTTATCATATACAGTTTATGTGTTTACATGAACCATCAAACAGACCAATTACTCACCAGATCTCCCTGCAAATGAAGCATGGGACAAAGAAAAAAAACAAAACAAGAGCAATGAACCCTAATGTGGTGACATGCTGAAAATTCACTTCAGCAGCAGGAATGAAACGTTGCTTCAACATCACTGCACGCAAACAGAAGCCTTTAACACGGACAGGTGTTTTCATTCGGCGTGAGCTGCTCAGACAAAGCAGCATTTTCCAGCAGAGATAAGAAAACTCGGGGAACAAAGCAGAGGTGGGTGCAGCAGCATGAAGAGTGATTCAACAAACACACGAACCAAATTATTCACACAGCTCAAAGCCAGTGAATCATCTCGGTTACTCTCTGCGTGTGTTTCGTGTAGTAAGGCATGAATCACACACCAAAAGGTTTCTTTACCTTATTTATGATCATAAAATTTGTAATTTGACAGACTTTGGACTGTAAATATGATTTAAATGTTTGTTTAATAAAAACACCCATCACAAAGACAGTGTTTTGTAAAAAGCTACCACCCGTCAGATGCATTGAACATATCGGATTAAAATACAGACATGTTTTCAACATTTAGAACTGATATTGGATTGTGAATCCATAAGAGATGCTCCAGAACCGATACTTTTTTATATTATTTGATGGACGTTTGTTTTTCCCCTCATACTTTCAACAGAGAAATGTGTTCAAACTACAATTTTTCAACATATTACCCACCTGTTGGAACTGATTAAACTTGTAATTAGAGATTCTACTAATTGTAAGCGATGTAATGGCATTTAATATGTGAATATATGAATATATGAATGTTTCCGTTCAGTGCCCTGAGATGACTTCTGTTGTGACTTGGCGCTATATAAATAAACTGAATTGAATTGAAATAATAATACTCATATCGGCAAGTACTCAAGTACTCGGTGGAAAAAACGTGGTATTGGTGAATCCCTAAATTCAGACGTTGTTCTTAGAAAAAAAATTAAGCTAAAGTAGACAGATTAATTGTTGATATGTTCCACTTGAAAAATAAAAAAATAAGAAAAAATTCAGAGAGTGAGTGTTGTATATTGTTCTGATTACCAAGGATTTTAACAAAACAATACGACTGATGTTTATTTTTGGAAGTCTTTTCAGATCTTAAATGTTTACTAAATCAAAATAACTAATTGTTTAAGTTGTTCATATTTTCCCAAAGGAATTCGAATCTAAAAACCTACATGTGCATATTTATTTTGCCATGTTTTGTGTTCTTTAGAAACACTTCATAAGTTAAATGACGCATTGTACAGTTGTGGATTTAGGATGGAAATGACTGTGACTACATCTGTGTCAAATCTGTTCGTGTAAAAGACAATAAAAGTGTTTTATCGGAGTAAACGAAGGCTGACGTCTCATTTGAAGCTCACCGAGTTCTCCAGCTGTTTAGCATCCTGAGCTCTGCAGCCCAGGACGTGCGGGCAGCCCTTGAAGGCGAACTCCTCCAGCTCGGCCAGCATCCTCTCCTTCTCCTCGCTCTGAGCGTGCACGATCTGCTTCAGTCGGAACTGAACCTGGGCGAAGTGAGAGGTGAGGGCGAGAAGAGAAGAGTTCAACAAGTCCTGCTCATCTTCGAGCTTCTTCAGCCGGACGGCCATCTCCTCATCGGTGGCCGACGCCGAGCCTCGCTGCCTCGGCTGAGCGCCGCTCTCATCCTCCGGGCTGGCTACGGCGCCCACCGGTGCCCATCGCTCCCCGGCGCCGGCGAACACAGCCTCGCTGTCCGACGCTGACAGCTCCTCTGTGGACATTCTGGACGAAGCAGGTTACTCCGACTCTTAAATAGCCGTCTCCAGTTTTCCAACACCAAATTTCAGACGGTTTATTGTCTAAAAGTGCGCAGAAAACGTCCGAGAAAACAGGTGCAACGCCATATTGGAAAAGCTGCGTCAGAAGGAAGCAACGTAAAGATAAACAGACGTAACCCAGAGCGGAAGTGAAGCGTCAATACCGGAAGTAGCGCTTCTTTGCCTTCGAAATAAAAGCTTCATTCCTGTTTGAAAGGTAATTGGGGGGGATATTTATTTTTACTGCTTTCGACGAAAAACATCTTCCTAAATATTAATTAACTTTACGTGACATTAAATCAATAAATAAATTCCAGAAGCCATCACACTCAACAACAAAATCTGTGTTTGGCACAGTTAAAATAGTTTATTTAAAAGAAACTGCAAATTTTGACAAACGTTTTTTGCAGTTTTAATCATTTGCACAGTGTGGTGCAATTTATATATTTTTATTGTCTTTTTTGTATTTTTTTTTAATTGTTTTATTTCATTCTTTTCAATCCATTTTATTTTTTGTTTGTTACTGTGACAAATACATTTCCCAGGTTGGGATTAAGATCCATCACATTCACACAGACATGAATAATTTTGATATATTATTACTTATAAAGTAGGCTGGTTTGAACAAACAAATTTCATTTTAGTTGGTGTTTATGCTTAACTGCTTCTATTGAAGACAACTTATATTACACCACTTACAGAACCACACTGTTAACAGTACCATGCTGCTAATAGGACCATGCAGCGGTAGATGCATTTCTTTTTCACTTTTAGTGTCTTGCTTTTGTATTTTTGTTGCATGCTTTAATTGGTATTTCTTGATTATTTTTATTTTTTGGGGGGTGGGGGGTGGGGGGGTGTCAAGACGGTTCTTCTCCTCCTGAGCATTTCATTGTATTGCCGACCTTGTGTTGATCTGCAAATGACAGATAAAACCTGACTAATTTGTACTACATATAAAAAGAAACACACTACTTTTTATGTTGTCATTTGTTGTTTATTGGTTTAATGGAAAACAGGAAGATCGTGCAAGTCATAAAAATTAAGCTGCTCCAAGTTGACAGTTCTTTATTGTCCCAAACTGTAAGGCCTCAATAATAAGAGGAACAGCTGACATTAAATGAAAATGATCAACAAATAGTTATCCATTAAACAATATGGCCCGAACAGATTCACCAACTGAAAATAAGTTTAGTGGTTTTATAAATAAGTTAAATTAATAAAGTGGAACAATGTGAAAAATGAACAAAGTTTCAATAAATAACTCTGGGTATGAAAGAATAAAAACATATCCAATTTTTCTCATAATTTACTCTTTTTCAACTAAATCAGATGAAGTTTCCTTCAGTACCACAGTTTTCTAAAAGAACAGATTTAAAAACACCTCCTTGTGTTTGTATTAGTGCATTACTTGCAGACAAAACCCACAATGCAAAGTGTTTTCACAGATTTAGAGCTCTCTTCTTCTTGTTGTTGAGGAAGAAGCTCCAGTTGTGCCAACTGGGCCCAGTGTTCTGGACGCAGGTGCCTTCATCGGTGCACCTGTACTCGGAGGGACAGCAGTGCTTCATGTCGCTGCAGCAAACCGCCTGCAGCCAGGACAAAGAGAGCTTTGGTTTAATCTGTGCAATTTGACCATTTTTAGTATTTTATTAGGATGTTCTAGTACTAATTTAAAAGCCTGAAGCTTAAAAACTTGTTCTAGTTAAGGCAATTTTGATTACAGTACCTGCAACAAGAGGATTTTTAAAATTTAATTCAGTGTATTTACCTTCTTGTTGATTCAAGACTCACTTATTTGTTAATCATGTATATTTACTACTGTAAGCAGGAAACACATGAAAATATTTACTAGAATCTAGTATGATTTTCATTTTGTCCTTATTTTGTAATGGTCTTGATCCAGTATCTCCATACAACAGCAGACCAACAACGTTTCTTAAAAACAAGATGGTTCTCACATTCAGAGAAAGAACTCCCAAATAGTTTTGCAAATTTCCATCACTAGATTAAAACACTGGTCTTGAGGGTTTGCGTGTGTTTGTTATAAAAGGCATGACTTCGAGGTCTGAGCTACAATTTATGCATGAATTCTTCAAAATAACTTGAACTTTTTCTGTTTTAGATACAATTTAGAGGCATTCAGTCTGCAATAGCTAAAAATAAGTTTATACTCGGCTTCACTTTACTTGAGTATATTTTGTCAGCCCTGTCTTACATTTAAAATGCAGCAGAATGGACAGAAATCAAATCATCAGTGTGCAGAGTGTCGTACATTAGGAGACGGACAGCAGCCCCAGGAAGTGGCGGACGTCCTGCAGCAGGTCTCCTTGTCTTTGCAGTTGTACTGCTCGTCACACTGGATGACTCTGTGCTTTAACGGAGCGAGCTGGAGGTGGTATTCGGGCAAGTAGATCGGAGTCAGGGGGATGGTCTCCAGCTGCAGCATGATGACCTTCTGACAGGACTTGGACACGAGGTCGCAGGTGTAACCCTGAGGGCAGCAGTGCTCCATATCTGCACAGCACACAGCCTGCACGCAGAGGACAAACAACACATGAAGCTAACACATAATGGTACTGCTTCACCCATATTGAAGAACATATGGCTTTATGATACTTGGAAATCATTTTATTCTGTTTTCATTCACAACATCCTAACTGTTTTTGGATTTGGGGTTGTATCACCAATCTTACAGACACAAACAGACTCACATTTGGCAGCGGGCAGCAGCCCCACTCGCCCGTGAACAGTTTGCAGCATGAAGTGTGTTCAGGACACTTATTCAGAGCGTCACACTGCACTGAGCTGGGATCAGCTGGAACGCTGGTGGTGGCTGGGATCTTAGTGTACCACGGGATCACCACGTCCTCTTTAACACACGAGGTCCTGCTCTCATCACACCTGTAGCTGACAGGGCAGCAGTGGAACTCATCAGCACAGCACACCGCCTGCAGAGACAAACAGGATATTTTCACATCAGGCATGAAAACCTTCAGTTGTGCCTACATCTGGAGTGAAAGGCTAAAGTTTCAGACATGCAAAAATTTAAAAACTAGAATGAAACAATTGTTTAATTATTTAATTAACAATTATTATTGTATATATGTATGCAGATGATTTACATTTCCTTGTATGATTGCAACCTGTAGCTAATAATAATAATAAAATAAAAAAACTAAAATCCACCAAGAGGGGATTTGGGGGTGGCCTCCCCTAAAAAAATGCTGGTGGCAACTCCACTGGGCCCCCTTGACCAGACAGTTTTATCCTCAAGATTTTGCTTGGTGTGCATTTTTGGGATCAGAACGTCCTAAACATAAAAATAAACCTTGTTTTTGCACAACTAGGAGTTAAAAATATACGTTTTAAAAGTAAAAATATTCAACTTTAAAAACGGTCCCCCTTAATAAGGACAACCAAGGTTCTTACAAAAAAAAAAAAAGATCAAGGTTTGACCGAAATGGCTCCAACTTCATCATTTCACAACACAATCTGCGTTTAAAACTCCAGCAGGAAGGTCAGCAGACGTTCCTTCATGGAACGCTACAAGTTACGTATGAGTTTCTTTTAAATCTGGATCTCACAGAAAAATTACATTACTTTTAAGTTAATTATTTTTTGGTCCAACACATCAGGAACTGTTCAGCAAAATGAGCCACAAGTTCCCTGAGGGTCATTCTGATCCAACAGTTTCCTGCGGGATCAATAAAGTTCTTATCTTATCTTATCTTATCTTATCTTATCTTATCTTATCTTATC